CTTTACACATTTACCTTATAATTCGGTTAATATCGGTTAATATTAATATCGGTTAATATCCCAGGAGTGTGCCCCTGCGGATCTCCCTGCTGAGCAAATGGGTCTGCCCTTCCACTCCCTCTCTGCCCATCTAGCAGTGGGAAATGGAGGCGGGTGCTACGATGGTTGTCGAGACAGGGCCTTTCTATCAGGGACTTGAACTTCGAGCTGGAAACTGAGTCAGGGAGGTTTTTCCCCAGTCAGTTGGAACTACCTGCTCTCCGTTTCCAGGGAGGAGGAGGAGGGGGCAAAGGATCTATTGAGATTTTTTTTTTAATTGGCATAATATTTGATTGGCCAGCTTCTGTGGCAGTTCACATTTATTTGCTGACCCATTCATGTGCTGTGTGACCGCACTAGCAGTCTGCGGCCCTGACATGGGGCAATGTAGGCATGCTATAAGTGCACATGACTGGCCCAGCTCATGTGGTAAGTGCATTTATGCATGGGATGCTGTGCATAGAATGCACAAAAAAAGCAATCTATAGGGCTGCGTTCTGGTTTGCTTGTGCCACGGATCTTTTGCCCTGGGGCAGGGCCGGTTGTCAGCATACGCTGAGCTGGGGCAGCTGCCGGGGCCCTCGGCCACACACAGTGCCCAGTAAAAAGGTAAAAGGCCCGAAAGCCAGTCGAATCCAACTCTAGGGTTGCGGTGCTCATCTCCGTTTCAAAGCCGAAGAGCCAGCGCTGTCCGAAGACGTTTCCGTGGTCATGTGGCCGGCATGACTAAACACCAAGGTGCATGGAACGCTGTTACCTTCCCACCGAAGTGGTACCTATTTATCTACTTGCAATTTCTTGCTTTCGAACTGCTAGGTTGGCAGGAGCTGGAACTAGAGATGGGAGCTCTCTCCGTCATGCGGCACACTCGGGTCTCGAACTGCTGAAGTACCGACCTTCTACAGCCTGCAGATCAGCGTGTTAACCACTTGAGCCACCACAGCTACACCAGTACTGCTGGGCAAAGGGCTTGCAGGCAGTGTGGGTGGCTGTGCATGCTGGGGGGAAGGCTCACGAGCCGGGGGAAGAAAGGTGAGAGGGACAGAAAGGGAGGTACAAGGGGAGGGTCTGGTGGTAGGCAGAGGGGTCCCTGGGCACACTGTGTCCTGGCTCCCCCATAACTTGGAACATGCTTGGGGGGGGGAGGTCTCCAAAAACCTGACAAAGGCTCTTGAGCCTCAGATTGTGTGGATCCATTCCACTAGCAGAGGCTTTTCGCCTCAACTGAAAGAGCCTTCCCTAAATCCCTAAAGATGAGCCCCAAACATCGGTGGGCTTGCTCCTTCCACTGGCGGAAAGCACTTGCATTTGGCAGAACAGATTCATGGGATCTAACCCGTGGAATTTCCCTTTTGTTTCCTCTGTCTGAATGGGCTTTCTTGAAAGACTGCAGTGTAAATTCTCTGCATCTTAGCTGTTGGCCAGATGACAGCCATCCCTGATTGCTTTGAGGTTGACTCGTGTTTACTGAACTATGCACAACTTATTTCATTTAATTTCTGTAATTTTTTTTTTACTGTGTGTTTGTAATGGATAAACTTTTGGGAACGGCTTTGCCGTATTACTAAAAGGCATCGTGATTTTAAAAAAACTAAGCGATTAGTCTTGCAAAATACACAATGGAAACACTTGATAGCTTTAATAGGAGATTAGCAGTTGGCTTACCAAGGAACGCAGGCCCAGTGAAGATATTTAGCATGCGGAATATGCAAATCTTGCTTTCTCCCCTTTTTTCTCCCCCCCCCATTTATCGTGCCCTTTAAGTCCTCCAGTTTTGTTTTCTTACTAACTACATTTAATTTTTGCCACACTCTTGCAGAGGATGATGCCGAATTCTTCTGCTGTACCTTTTAGCCTCAGGTAGTGATATTTTTGATACTTTCTAGTTTTGGGCTGACTTATACATGACTTAATATCTGCAGCATCCGAGGCATGTCTGAATGGCCCAATCCATATCAGATTCCACAGACCGTGCTTCTGTGCCATATTCTTCTCATCCCCTCAACTGCAGTCCTCAAGGGATGAAAAAACAGGTGATATCCTTGCATGTGTGAATGGGCCTTACACAGTCTACACGGTGTTTTTATAAGCTTTGTTCAGCGGAAACTCATGAGGACTTTGCTTTTGGAGTTGAATCTCTGGGACATTTCTCTGCAGCTGCGTCTGTCTCACCATTGCAAGTGTATACAATAAAACAGGTTAACTGTTTGGCTTTTGATTTAATTACCCAACTCATCGTCAAAGAAAATAGATTGTTACCTCTGCAACTGAAGCACTTTTTTCGGGGGCGGTGCGCAGTGGTCTACAGTTTGAAATGTACAAGGATTCCTTTTCGACTTTGCTAGAAAATAAAAAATGTTTTATAATGAATGAAATGGTTTCTGTTATTGGTGGAAGTTTTGGTGGCCCAGAATAACTGGATTCCAGACTTTCAGAACTCCTGACCTGGATGGCTAGCCCAGTCACACCAGATCTCTGAAGCTAAGCAGGGTCTGCCCTGGTTAGTATTCGGATGGGAAATCCGGGGTTGCTATGCATGAGGCCTGGTTTGGCAAACCACCTCTGTTAGTCTCTAACCTTGAAAATCCTGTGGGGTCACCAAAAGTTGGCTGCAACTTGACAACACTTTACACACACACAGACTTTGTGAACACACATATGCCTGACTCCAGGTCAGCTTTGGTGTAGTGGTTAAGAGTGGCAGGTTCTCATCTGGAGAACCAGGTTTGATTCCCCACTTCTCCACATGCAGCCGGCTGCGTGACTTTGGGTCCATCACAGTTCGAGCGGTTCTCACAAGAGCAGTTCTCTCAGAGCTCTCTCAGCCCACCTACCTCACAGGGTGTCTGTTGTAGAAACAGGAAAGGAAGGAGATTGTAAGCTGCTCTGAGACGCCAAGTGAAGGGTGGGGTATAAATCCAACTCTTCTTCCTCTTCTTCCTCTTCATTTGTGGGGCAGAGACTCTAGGAACTCAGGTGGCACCCTTTCACCTCACCTATCATGGAGCCGTGCCTCTGCCCTCCAAAGCTTTCTGGCAGTGATGGAATTTGAACCCACACCCATCATGCACACTTGAGAGAGTGTGAGAGAGAGCCCAGCACACACACAACATTTCGATATACAGGGCAATGTGATCGAGCGAACAGGGTGTGCGGCTGGCTGGAATGTGAGCACAGCACCCACATACATACAAGCCACACGTCCATGTAGACTCCATGCCTGGGAATGTTGGAAGAACAGCATGCCAAGCTGTGGGGATGGAGCAGTTGGGTGTCCATCCTGCAGGGGGTGCTGTGCCCACAACTGGGGTTCCTATGCATCAGCAGGGTGGGCGGGTGGGTGGGAGCAGGGTCTTCTTGACCTTGGTGTGTGCTGGTCTGCCTAAGAATACAGGGCTTCGTCCAGTGAGTCTATGCAAGGTAACTTTTCCTGGCATAAATCCAAAAGTTCCAACTTTGCCTCCATCAAACACAGCCGAGAGACAGCTCTGGGCTTGGTCAGGGATCCCAAGCGTTACCTTCACCTTAGGGTGCAATCTTATGCCTGGTTTTCTTGTGACTAAATTGCATTGATGTAGGTGGGTCTGACTTCCAAGGAGGAAAGCATCAAGTAAATACCCAGCCATCATAAAGAGCAGAATATTACAATACCAGAGGGTGACATTAGGAGATGAAAAAATAAGGCCAAGGCCAATGGTGCAAAATCAGGTAAAACTATATTTTATTAGTTAAAATTTCAAAAAAAAAAAAACACTAACAGGCTTCGTCACGTCAGGGGAATCTGTAATATATACAATTACACCACTGAGTGTACATAAATAATGGTATAGTTAAAATTATATAAATATACGAGATATTATGTTAAAAGTCAAAATCCAGGTCGTAAAATATCAATCACATACACAACTGCTAGAGTGTATTCTGTCTGCATGAGGAAAAGGAACTCCTTGTCAATAGGAGAGATGAGATAAAGCTGTCCAGCACCCAGCAGGTTTTGGCTCAAAACTGAGTCTTTTTCTGTGCCTCTTGCAATAATTCTTCATCTGATCAATATTTTACAACCCGGATTTTGACTTTAAATATAATATTTAAATTAAATTAATTAAATTACATATACATAATACTGGGGGGATGACAAAACATTTCTAGCCTTTGAGGCATGGAAGTTCTCTATTGTTACTAACAGGTGAGGATGTACCTACAACACAATCCAAAACACAGAGTTGTGTGATGTGCCATCCAGTCACGTTCGACTTACGCCAACCTTCAAAACATCCTCTCGTTCACAGCCTTGGCCCGGGCTTCCTGGACTGGGTCCATCCTGCTCATCCTGGGTCTCCCTCTTTCCCAGCTGCCTTCCACTTTCCCTAGCATTATTGTCTTTTCCAGTGAGTCTTGTCTTCTCATAAGGTGATCAAAGTACAGTGGCTGTGGTGGCGGCAAGTTCTCTCAGGGCCAGGCCACAGCTGAGTTATGGCGACCCCGTACAGTTTTCAAGGTTAGAGAGGTGGGGTTGCCAGGTCTGGGTTGGAAAATACCTGGAGACTTTGGGGGTGGATCCAGGAGAGGGTGGGGTTTGGGAGGGGCCTCGGCATGGTCCAATGCCACAGAGCCCACCCTTTGAAGTAGCCCTTTTCTCCAGGGGAGCTGATCTCTGTCAGCTGGAGATCAGTTGTAGAAGCGGGAGATATCCAGGCCCCACCTGGAGACTGGCAACTCTATTTGCCACTGGCTGCTTCACTGTGGTGACGCCGACTTCCTTGTTGGTCTCCCATCCAAGTACTAACCAGGCCTGACCCTGCTTAACTTCTGAGATCTGACCAGACTGGGCTAGCCTGGGCCATCCAGGTCAAGGTACCAGACATTCAGAGGTGGTTTGCCATTGCCTTCCTCAGCACAGCGACCCTGGAA